CACAGAACCAGGATGTATAATTTGTTGAAAAGTTGGTGTCAGAACTATATCCAAACTGCTAATACAGAGTAGGATCCTAAAAGATAGGGCTGCACTGCTTTCTCAGCCTTCCCCCCTGACTGTGCTTGCTCTCTGTTTCAGTTGTAAGGATTCTGACTGCAGAAATGTAAAAATCAAGTTTCATGACTAAACTCCACCATGTATACATGAAAAATCTGAACCCTAGGATCTAGTGCTTATTGGATGAGAAAGAAATCAGATGCAGAGCTCTTTTACAGCTATGCAGCCTAACACATATAATCACTCCTGACAGGACTCAGCACACCAGGAATCCCAAGGCCAAGAACAGTTAAGGCAAGACATTACTGATGCCTCTATCAACTCTGCCAACGGCCAAATGGATTGCAAGAGAACAAAAACACAGCAAAATACACCAGTGATTACATGACTAGGGAAACTGTGAGAAAGCAAAAGACAACCACTGTTTTTCAATGAGTTTAATGGACGAGTCTATATGGAAAGGTTAATAATGTTATAATTCACACAGAGTTACAAATTCTGTACTCCAATCTGTTGAATTAAATCAAATTTGATCAAAAAAAAAAATTAAACTAAACCAGAGTATTATTGTCTGTAAAAATTGTGATTGCCTAAGCTGCCAAACTACCGTTAGCTTAAATGTTTTCCAGAAATTAAACAGAATATTATCTATACTTTTTTTTTTAAACTGAGTAGAAGTGAAAATGCCTTGAAACTCTTTGATAGACAAAAGATACTCTCACAGTGAACTTGGGGTTTATATTACAAAGTTTCCGAAGTTAAAACTCCATGTATTTTGGCATGATGCCTGTGCTCTGTTTAGTCTTTTAGTCTTGCAGATAAACTAATTTAGACAGCTTGCCATCAGTAGTAAGTGCCTAATTTGACTTCAAAGACAGCTGAATAGAATAAAAATTTTAAAATTAAAATAGTAATTAGACAACAGTTTATCCAAGATGTATTTTTGTTTATATATTGCAGATTCACATCCCACAAACTCATTTTTCAAAAGCAAATGGTAGCTCCCCTTCAGCTTCTTACCAACCTTGTTAAAAAGAAAGGCTCTTCCCGTGGCCCCAGTGAAACGAGTGGAGATGAGCTCGGAACGGTTGGTCAGGATTGTGTCACAGTTTGCACAGGAGAACAGGCGAGTGCCACCAATATGATCCAGAAAAATTCTTCCCATTTTTAGAACTTATGTAAGTTTATGCTCAAGACCTGAAAGCAAAAAGAACAAGTACATGTGAAAAAAAAAGAAAAAACCCACCACACAAACCAAAACACCTCACATGTATGGCAGGACATTCTGCAAACCAATCAGCTAATGAATGCAGAGCTTCCTTCCTTTGTATGTGAATTAGCGAGCAGACTGCATTCATTGTTTCTCCTCAAGACAAGTTCTTTCCCAAAGTGACCATCTCAGCAATAAATTACACTCTTAGATGCAAACAGATTACATTAAATGAGCAATGCAGGAACCAAAACCTTTAATATATAGTTCAGACAGTTACAGACCACTGCTGGACCCTACAGTTCTTAAACTCAAAAGCTTCCACTTCCTCGCTGTTTTTTTTTTTCTCCTTTTCAATACAATACTGAAATTCCATTCCAATATATTCCCAACGACTCACCAATCTTACTCAGCACTGGGAAATGAAGCACTGAGAAGTACACTGAGTCACCAAGACAATTATAGTTCAATTTTCCCAAGTCACCCTCTGCTTTTTAAAATACATATTTATCTTGTCACTTCCCCTCAGCTTTGCACAATTTATGACATCCAACCACACAACACCACCACCCAGGATGCTTTAGTCTTCTAGTATAGCAGATTGGGCTACTGTTTTTGACTTGACACTTATTGGTTTCTCATATATAACAATACAGGAAAGGTTTAGATGTTCTCTCACACATTAAGCAATCCACCCAGTCTTTACACCAGACAGTTTTATATACAAATGTTTAAAGCTGTCTGATCAAAATACAAAATACCGTGCCATTTACTCAAGCTATTTCCAAAGCATCACCACTAAAATACCTGAGCAAATCCAATGAGCAGAAAAAGAGAGCTTAGAAAGTTTACAGCAGCAGATCTGCAGTACTTGATAAACAAACCTCTTCACTGCTTGGGAAAATTAAAATATCTCACTAACTTTATTCCAACTAACATCAATTACTCAGTTAACTAGCGAGTAGGCACAGAACATATCAGACAGTTGAAAACTTAAATCATAAAGGATAACATGACAAAGGAATTAAATGATGTTATTTCCATTTCAACTGCAGAAGCTTTATGACTAAACATCTATAGTCAAGTTAAATATATCTCCATTTATACATCAGATGTGGAATCAGAAAAGAGTATTGTCTCTGCTTTTGTCATGCAAAGCAAATCTGACACACTGCAATATTAAAGTTGTGGGACTTCTGCTTTTCAGAGCAGGAGACAGTGCGCCATTCATACAGAAATTAATCAAATTTTGTGCTCATCAAATAGAATATTCTATGTCAAATGCCTTTATAAAGCACAAATATGCAAATTAAACCCAGTTCAAGTTTTAGAGGACTAAAGGTTTAGGGTTCTTGAAACTTCTTAAAGCTTACTCTGACATGCACAAATCAAATGGACTGAAACATGCACCCGCACACACAAAATTTACAGTACCATTTTTACATGTAAAAATCATAAGTCACTGATATGAGGATTTTTTTGTTAGTTGCTTTATTTCATCACTTTGTTTTCTTACAATGTATGGTAATAAAAAGGGTTCCTAGCATTGAACAGAATGATTTTAACATGTTCTTACATTCAGATTTTGCATATCACTATTAGCCTTCTGCATCCCATCTGAAGGATACCTAAAATCTGAAAGCAATAGAATGACTCTTCCCTTTAAAGACAATAGAATGCCCATTTCTTTTCTCAAAAGGGTAAATAATACAGGTCTTGAGTTTGACAGAAGCGTTTCAAAGACTTAGCTGAGTGTAGGGTCGTGACTCTTGTGACTCCACTCAAAACACAGGAAGCATTTTCCTCCAATTTCCCTAAGCATTATACCTTTCTAATACACCTTTAGCTCTCCTAGCAAGCAAGAGCAAAAGAAAAATATTAAAATGTGAATAGCACCAGCACAAAGGAAAATCAACAGACAATAAGTGTAAATAAATAAGTACCAGTCAAAGTCTCCAACCAGAAGAAACCACAAATACCAGCAGTAAAAGCAGTTGTGACAGATATGCCCATAAGGCACTTGGCCTAGCTCCACATGCCATCCTTACTAATTTTGGATAACGTTATTTGTGTGTCGATTGTATTGTGGATTAAAAACAACTAACGGATCATAAGTTATTCTAAGTGTGGAACCAACATCCAAAGGGGTATTTCTTTCAGGATAAACACAATGCTCACCCAGTTGGTATTTTTAGAAGCCAACATAAATCAAATCCAAAGCCATGCCTCTCTTTTACTGGGAGCAACACAAAGACTAACTTGGTAAGGACACGGACAGATCCATCACACAGCCTAACCTCACAAAGCACACCACTCTGAAAACCACCCATCTGAACACTTCAAGCACAAACACATCACCTATCTAAAATCTGCTGCACCCACAAAAGCAGTAACAGAGCCACTAAACCCAAAATTTAGATACTTCAGAAGAGCAGGGGTGTAATTCTTACAAGCAGGTTAGAAGTCAAAGTGACATACAGCTGTATCACTCCTGGATATGGCACTGAGCATGGACTGAACTAATGAGTCCTGAAGATCGTGAACACTAAAATAAATACATAAATAATAGGTTAAAAAATTTAAGGCTGAAAAACCTGCCTAGAAATACAAGGTGTAAAATCTTCAAAGTATTTATATCATCCCAAAAAACTGCATTAACTTCATCAAGTATCCAAATGAGAAAGAAATTTCCAGTAAGATGTGGGTCCCAGCAGAAAGATAAAATTAGATTCATTTGATGGTAACACAAGGCTGTGAAAATTCATACCAAAGTGGCAGAATCTAATAAAACAACTGGTACCAGAATAAAATTTTCTTCAGAATGTAGTGCAGAAGAAAACATATATTCTTCAAATAAATTAGTATTTTGAAATTTATAAAATATTGGCATTTTAGCAATCAAAGTAGATCACATTTTGAGTATTTTTTTAAAGAAACTGCTAAAATAACATAACCATACCAGAATGTCTAACATTTACAATAACCTGGACACTTAACTGCCCCCTGGTTCATTTCAGTCAAAACAGGCAGCAGCCTACAACTATCATTACCTCTTGGTTTTGACTGCAACAGGATTTCAATGAATTTGTGAGGGTCTAGCTGTCCTTAGTTTAAGTCACCTTAAATTAGACTTTATACACTGCTCACAGTAGTAAAAAGTAGGAATAAAAGTTATAAAATGATTGCTACTAAGCCTTCAAATGCTGCAAACCATGAGTTTTCTAAATGAGATAACACAGAACTTTTGTTTTTTCCTCTTACATGAAGCAGAGAAGTTATTTCAGCTTGGAATCATTTCACACTCTCCCCTCTCTTTTCTTTTTCCCCAAGCTACAAACAGTATTCACTTATCAGACCAATTCAATATCCATACTTGCCATAGATAAAGACTGTTCTCTCCTCACATAAGGTTCCTCAATCCTGTAGGGTATACTCATTATACAGTGGAAAAAAAACAGAAGCACAACAGAACAAGGGAAAGCAGTTTTCCATTGCTCTCACGCTCATTACCACAGAATCACAGAGTGGTAGGGGTTGGAAGGGACCTCTGGAGATAATCTAGTCCAACCCCCACAGCCAAAACAGGTTGACCTAGAGCAGGCTACACAGGAACACATCCAGGTGGGTTTTGAAAGTCTCCATATCCCTTACATACAGAAGTGGTGTGCGTACAAAGTCACCCAAGACAACTGTAATTTCTTTTCCTATAGTTTTCGCTTCCAATGTGAAAGGTGTGGGCGTATATTTATGTTCACACATGCATAAACGATCTGAAAAAAGCCATTTATAGGCAGCTTTTATAGGCAGTGGGAAGGCTCTCTTAAATAAAGAGAAGCCAAAGAACTGTGAAACATTAAAGCATTTCTGAAGCTTAAGCTACTCCAGCTAGGGGGGAGGAAAATGCAAGAAGAGTGCTTACCCATCCATCCACTCTACACCTAAACACAGTGACAACAACGTGCATCGGTTCAGAGAACCAGTCAGGTTCCCTCCTGCTGTTCACAGCCCCAGCAAGTGACACTACTGTAGCACACCAGCTCCATCACTCTACTAGCAGAAGTTTTGGAAGCAGTGGACAGGAATCTTGGTTATTCACAAACCCAAACGCTGAGGAAAGAACATAGATTTTTTGGGGCCAATGACTTCTTCAGAGTCAGCTAAGCATTCTTTGTTAGGTATGTGTCAGTGATGATGACCTAGTGACCCTGCCCTGATGCAAATTACCAAACACAAGTCATAGTATTAAATTAAAGGCTCCAGTGTAAAAAAAGGCAGACTTATTTACTTTTACAAATGGGATGTAAAGTTATCTAGTCCATGTCAAACCTACATTTTGCTGACAGTACAAACCTTACTGCAACTTCTTAGTCATACTGGGAAACGTCCCTGCCTGCACACCTCTCCCAGGGAGGGCACGGACAGCCAGGGAACACAAGCACTGTGGCTGTGTGCTGTAATACATATTCCCAGAGCAGCGTGCTCCCAAACTTCCACCTGTCTTGCAGTGTTGACTTTGGCAACACTGAGCAACAGCCATCAATGAGCTGACGTTCAACAGCTTAAGTCTGACCACTATCTGCACACAGAGCTGAAACCACCTGAAGCACTATGTGGTTGGTATTGGTACTACCTCATCTGCCTACCTTCACAAGCAATGAAGAACAAAAATGTAACACGAAGAATTATTTATTAACATTTTAAAAACTAACAGTCAGTGTTTCCTTGTCCCAGAGTGCATCTCTTGAAGACACAGGACCGTCAATATTTGGCAGAGCCAGCAGGCACTTTCTATATACTGTGGATATTCCAGGAACCGCAGTGTTGCTTCAGCACCATCTACTGCATCTCAGATCTACAAGAGAAAACAGATGCTAGTTACAGGATTAAAACAAACAAACAAACAATGACAGCCTCTCTTTCACCATTTCACCAACTAAAAACATTTTCCTTTGTATGGTGAGCTAACAAGCATTCCCTCCCTCTTCAAGAAG